TTTGGGCGTGAAAATACATGCAGGACCATTTGCTCATATATATGAGGGAATTATAGGAAATTTGCTTATATCATGTGTCATTGATAGTTAGGCAGTGGCTTTACGTTTCTAAACACAGCTTTGCTAAGTGAGGGAAGTAGGAATGGTGTAAAGTAAATTAGTCACTTTTTATTGAGTAATAGAATCGTTTGTAAATAGAAATAGTGTAAAAAGTTCCTACATTTATTATCACATAATAAAAGCCATTGGCCCATAATTCAGTTACAAAGTAAATTTAAAGCCAGAAATTTCCTACAGTGACCCGCGCTCTGCATACTAACTGCTGCCGTCCCTGATCCAGCTCCCTTCACCCCTTTGAAGGTTCAGGTGCATTTTTCCAGGATGGAAGTGAGCCCTGCTTGGGTGTGTGGCTGCCGGAGACCCTGAGCTGTGTCCTTAGAGACCTCAGGTTGGGGGCCTGGCAGAGGGCACAGGAGGGCGGCAGCACAGTGGGGATGTGTTCTCACAGCGTGACCGCAGTGCAGAAGTAATACTTTTAGAAAATGGTATTTTACTGAATAGGTCCTGGGACTCTGTAGACTGCAACAATAAAAGGAACGGAGTACTCTTCCTCCTGTTTCCTGTTCCACATTTTCTAAAACATTGAAGACTTGAGAAGGGCAAGTTAACCGGGCTGTTCTTGGAGGCAGGGCAGTGTCCAGCAGCCCCAGGCTTTGCAGACGTGAATGCTCAGGAGAGCACTGGAAACGGAGCGAGCCCACAGCCCCTGCATCAGGCCGTCACTCGGGGCACACCTTTTAGTGTCCCCAAGAACAGGTCACCCTCCCAGGCAGGTTTGCAGACAGAGTCTTTGGAGAGCTTTGTATCAGAGCCTACATGTGAACAAGACCATTCTTTGCAGTTAAACCATTCATAAACTGTCTCATGGAAACGCTGATGCTTGATTCCTATCTTGGATGGCCTGGATTCGGATTTGCCTGCTTCTCTTACATGCTTGACTTCGCTAAGCCTACCAAAGGGATGTCCTGTTTAGACTCTTGAAACTTAAATTAGTATGACTACACATTTCACATTATACAAAAGTTCTGATTTTGGTCAGTGATTCCTAAGGCATTCTACTAGTATATCCAAAGTCTGAATGACCTATATCCTGACCATGTAAACTCGACTTTTAATTAGAAAACATCCCAAAAGCAAATAAATAATTTATGTAATATTCTGGAAAATCTGGTTGAGTGGATGTTCACTGTATGAGCCTGCAAAGAATTAACCAAATATAAAGCTCCCTTTTTTCTGTGTTTTTATTCTTGCTGCAGTGGTAACAGTGATATTAGATATGGATAAACCAACGCTAGCCTCACTCTTACTAAATATTTGGGCAAAATGGCAAATACATGGAAAACTGTTTACAAATGCTACTCTGAAAGCTCTTTATTTAGAAAATGGGACACAAATTTAACTGTGAACCTTCTGAAGAAGTAATTTTGCATTTGTTACCTTACAGAAAGCTGGGTCTATAGAAAATGGGTCTTGTTTTATAGTGGGCAATGAAAGAAGTATGACAGCTTTGTAGAACTAGGATAGGTTAAGACGTTAAAGCTAGGAGTAACATAAGAATCTATATTAGCATTGAGGAAATAGAGACCCAGGAAGATTTGGACTAGATCTCTGTAAATTATGTGTAGCAGAGATTAGAAAAATCATGGTCCTTAAAATCAAACCTAAGTGTTCTCTCAGTTCCTGGCTTGGGCAACTCACAGTAACAGGACTGATCTGGCATTCACTCAGATCCTTAGCTGTGAAATGGAGCCTTGAGTTTGGAAGGCATATACCCTGAACTTAAGTATCGCCATGGGTATGTTGAAAACATTCATTTCTAGTCCTAATTCCTGAAAAGAATGGCTTCTTTTCATAAGATGAGGAGTGGGGCCAGAGGACAAACCAATTAGATAAAAACAGTTTCTAATGAGCCTCGTAGAAGATTGTGTTTCTGTTCAGTATCACTGCATTGCCACTGCTGTGAATCATAAGGCTTTTGCCAGTATCTGTATCCCCTTTGGGTTATTCTATGTTCCCTAAAGAGAAAATGGACCATTTCTTCACTTCTTTGGAAAGCACTCACTTACAGAATGCAACGAACCAGCAGATACCCTCATGTTGAACTGTTTCCCCAGTAAATCTTATCTTCTCTCTTTAAACAGGTGGTTCCACCAAGGCCCTAATCCCCACAATGGAGCACAGGATTGGATTTACTCTGGCAGCTACTGGGACAGAAACTACTTCAATTTGCCTGACATTTATTAAAATACAGACAAGGCAGGGGTTTGGCTAACCTACAAATAAGTCTTAAATCTATGTTTTTAAATTATTTTCTTGGTTTCTACTCATCTTTTAAAAGAAAAAGATCAGCTCGAGATGATAACTTGCATTTCACCCAACAAGGTGTAGGGCACACGGTGATAATGGATGGTGAAAGTCTTAAGAAAAATGTATAATAATAATTTTCCTATCCAAACATACTTATTTAGAATATTATTTTATAGAGAGGTAAGAAAAACTGCTGGAGAGATGCTTTTTCTGGTTGCTAAATGTAACCTTAGCTTTATGGAATTATAATCTTAGATCAAGTTATTGGGACTATTTTTATGGTGTCATGCTTGAATGATTTAGATGTAACTTTGACATGTTTAGAATTCTATACAATGTTTATGTGCTCAAATGTAGAGGCTAATTTTGTAAAGAAGTAAATTGAGAAGATGGCTTTTAATCATATTAATCATCTCAATTTTATTCCTTCCCCACTGCCAAAAGAAAACAATGCCTGAACATTCTGAATAGGGCTTCCCAATTTGAAAATTCTAAAGAATTAAACTGGAAAAGGTATTTTATTTACTTATGTTAGTGCTCTCTACTTTTACAATTTTCTATAATCATTGTCCTTAAAATGTTTAAACTGTACATGTTTGAACTGCAGATATGTATAAAATCTAGCAATTCACAAATGCCCTAGAAATAGATTTGAATTCCATCATGAAATCTTTTTAAATGCTTCAACTTCCAGTGGCAACTGCCACTTGCGAGTTTAAGCTGCACTCATGTATGTATTGTAAGTATCAAACTATGTAAAGGGAGGTCTTGTGCATTTCAAGTTTGTAAGGTACCTGTGTACTTAAAATATGTATGAAGACCTACTGTACAGTAGCTTTGCCCCTTTAATTGGGGCACATTAATCTACAGTATTTATCCCCCCTAAACCTCAGACTGAGATACTGCTACAAGGGCCTTAGGTAGCTGCCAGTAAATTATTTTAATTGCTGTCTTGAAGTTAACAAGTGTTATAATGAAATAATCTACCTGATGCTCAATAAAGGCTTTAGAATGTTCCAAAAACGTGATCTCTTTAAAAGTTTCCAGCGTACAAATGCTGTCACTTTAATACTGTCCTCAAAGAGGAGGTTAGCACTCGGGCAGTTAGCACTCTGTCTCTGGGTAACAGAGTTTTGCAGAGAGGCTTTGTTTTTATCCTTCTGAATGCCAAATGCAGAGTATCAGGTTAGGAATCCCTGGCTGGATAATTTATACCTAGATCTATGAAGGAGAATGGTTTTAAAAAATGTGTACCAGAGTTGGAAATGCTTTTCACAAATCTGAAAAAGATCTAAGTGGCCTGCATGCCTCCTACATCATAAAAATAAGCACATATGTAAGGTTTAATGCTTGCAGGAAGTTTACTGATACACTTGGTGGATGATGACTCGGCGTCATTTTCGGCATCTGTCAGGAGTCACGTGAACAAGTGAGCCATTTAAGGACAGTTGTGAAATAAATGGCAGATCAGAAATGCAAGGTTCACTCTCCTGCTGCTCTAAGCTCTTAGTTACCCATGCTCTTACACTAAGGCATCCTAGCATTTCATACCCGAAACAGCCATATGGACAGAGGGGCCCTCAGTAACCATGAAAGGAGCGCTTTATACATCACATACTGTCCTTCTGTCTCGCCCACTCGGTAGGTTCCATGTTCTGCACCCTACTGTCGTCATTCAGGACATCAAGTACTGAAAAATGAGGCTTGAGAACTTCATTCCAATTGTCACTTTAACCTCTTCAGCGTCTCCAGTGTGTCCACCATGCGTGCCGTGTATAACCCCCATGGCCTCAGCTCTTACCTTACTCTCCAGCGCGCCTCCCCATTCCTTACCTAGACTGTCCATGCCTCCTAGACTGTCCTGTCCTTGTTTTAATAACCTCTCTTAGGATCGACCACATACGCAAAGGTGACAGAGTTGCTTGGTTCACATATTGGGCCTTTATTAGTAAGTAGTAGGCAGTTGGAGACAACCCATCAAGTTAAGTATGCCCGACTCATGTATTATATCAATTCAGTTTTCTAAAATGTCTCAGGCTCTAGGTGGACACATCAAAATGCTGAGAACTCAAGTATATGTAGGCCTCTGTATTATGGTAGGAAGATTTACCTACCAGATTTAAGATTCTGTTTTGCGAACATGGGCACTGGTCACAGTAATCTCTCCAGCAATACCATAACTTCCAAAGGGAGTATGTTTGTCACCAGATCCTGAACCTTTCTTAGCTACATCTTCTACTGGGAAAGCAACAGAAAGAAAAACTGGGCTTTGTGGCCTGGGGCCATCATGTCCACTTGTAGGAGGACTAGCGTTCTGGGGACTCTGGGTGTGTTTCTGGGATTTCTGGTCTGCAGCCACAGCAATGGGTACTTGTACTGTAGCGTATCTCTTTAAGCCATCTGCCTGTGAGACAACAGTGTGTCCAGGAAGAGGTTTCCAATCCTGCGCTTCCGGAACATTTGCACCCACTAAAATAAAAGGTGGGGGACTGGTCTTCTTGCTGTCATCCATCATCACATAAGCAGAAGTAACTTTTGGTGAATTCTGCTGCAGAAACTGTGGATCTTTAGAATTAGATAAATAGAGGGTTGCTTGGGGCAAAGGCCCAGGTGCAGGTGGCGGTGATGGGCGGCTTTGTTGATTCATATCAGTTAGACAATAAAGAGTCCACATGTTGTTAGAATATGGTGGTGGTTGTCCTGCTTCGCTTGTTGCTATTGCTATAAAAAAAAAAACAAAATTTGCAGGTATTAAAGGTTTGGTCTCTGTATCAGGCACTATGCACAGTCATCTTTGTAAAAAATTTTTACATATAAACAGCTGTAGTAATATGTGCCATAAAGCATGCTATAGAGAGAGCTAAGTAAATTCTGTCTGAGAATGTGAAAGAATGATTCTGCACAGGAGGAAGAGGACGACAGTGTTGTGATAGTGATAGTGAATGGCGGGACACCAGAGTTGTAGCTCAAGAAGCAATCACATTCTAAGTCGCTGTTTCCAGGTTCTTAAACTTTAGACATGGCCTCTATGGGATCCTCAGAGATCAGCACAGCTTCGGCTTTCCCCAGAATTAACTGTGTGGTAGGCCACTGAAATAAATGTTGCTGCATCTGCCGTGATTCTTTTTTCTTTCCCAAAGAAGTCAGGCATTAGATGTCACTTGGTCACTTACTCTGGCCCTTCACAGGCACCATTACCTCCCACCACACACAAAATAGCACCTCATCGAGGACTCGGCACCCCCAAATCTACTTCCTTTTCCAGCACAGTTTGAAATCATAGGTCCTACCTGGCAGCGAAAGGCTGGTTGTTCCCATGGGGGTTCTTCAAGAACAGAGAGGTCTAGATGTGCCACCCACGACCCGCCTTCTGCAGACAGGCAGTGCTGTCTCGGAAGATGGACCTAGGGGAGAAGGTCCCTGATGGCGGAGTTTCCGTTGGGGCCACTGAGCCATCTGTCCCTGCGCAGCCTTTCTCCTCCCAGAAAAGGAAGACCACCGTGCGCGAGGCAGCCGCTGTGTCTTCAACAGCCTCGGGTACTCTGAGTTGATCTTTCCTTATCGGAAAATACATCCAACTCTTCAGTTTTCTCCCACTGGCGTGTTTGAGAATTTAGTCCGAGTGTTCATAGGACAGCTATGTTCTATTATATATGTATTTTTTAAAAGCAGTTAAGCACCTGAAAACAGTGACTTGGCCTCACATGCTGCTGAAGCCACAAGCATCCTTCTGGCTCACAGGCTGTGTTCCCAGCACTGCCCTCTAGCTTGGCAGCTGTCCGAATCCCTGACACACTGCCAGACAGAATTTCTCTTCTAAACACCTGCTTTGCTCATACTTTGTGATCATTCTGGCTTGAGTCGGGGTTGAGAGTTTCTACAGCAGGAGTGGGGGGAGCGGCTCATGCACGTTCCTGTCCATCCCTGAGGTGTTCGGAGCAGGGAGGGGGTGGGCAGACCCAAGGGCTGCAATCAGGTGGAGATGGAGGTGACATCGTGTCTGCACCACAGGGAGACAGGCAGCAGTTCAGCAGCTAAGAAAGCAGCCTGGATGCGGCCCTGGACTGAGAAACTGAGCAGAGGAAGCCAGTCGTGGGCACCGCACCCGAGGTGCCTGACCACCTTGCCTGCCACCCCCCTGCTCCCTCATCCAGGGACGCCCACAGGCAGGAGCTGCCGCTTGAGCCCGCACCCCAGACCTGGCTGCAGAGTTCTCCTGAGCCGGTACGAAAGCAGTCCAACACACCACCATTTCTGTCACATTTTAAATGCCAAGCCCAGGTAAATGCAGTGTTGTAGTTAGCTTTACATTCACAAGTGAGAAATGGAAAACCAACACCCTCTAGCTGTAGTTCTGTAGTAGGAGTACATAGTTTTGTACCTGACAACAGGGTCTGACGTTCGCAATATAGTATACCCAAAGAATAATAAAAGTGCTGGATGACCAGACTTTGGGAATGTCACTTTAAAATCACTCCTCCGAGTAAAATCTTAAATACAACAAAGGTTTTTAGTAGGTTTGGCATTTAAAAAACTACTGAAAACAAAGACTGACCAACCTGCCGGGAGCCTACCTAGACAACGACCTGAAATACAACGTGTAAATGTTTTCTTACCTGGCCTCACCAAACCTGTTCAGATGTTGCTTCCCCTTCTGGTTGGATTTATGGCTCAGTAAGACCTTCTAGCACAGGAGGGAAGGGGCCACTAGATGATCGTGCAGCTGCCCCTGGGGGCGCTGCTTCACCCTCTGTCTCCTGGGCTGACTCCTGCCCGGGTTTGTCAGGGTCTATGGACATGATCTCCACTTCAAGGTGCAGAGACCTTTCAGGGCCTGTCTCGATAAGGTCCTCTGCATCCAGGGGCTCTGCAGGTGGCTCCGGCTGGCCTTGAAAACTGGGATCAGAGAGCACTACTACAGCTTCTACCTCCACATGGACTAAGGGCTGGTAATCTGCAGTCTGCGACTCTGCAAGTTTCTCAGACTCTACAGGGTTTTTGCACATGCCGGAGGGCATCTCGTACACTACAAGTTTGGGACTCACTGATGGTAACTGCTGCATTTCAGTGGCAGGGATGACTACAACTCCTTCAGTGACAGGCGCACCATTATATATAGATGATATGTGAAGGGCTGATGTGACCTGAGGAGCTTGATCACGAACAGGAGGGTGTTGTTCATCCTGCAAGGGGACTGAGGAAGCCGCTGATGGTTCAGCCTCACGGTCTTTAGGTTTAGAACCCACATCTACCTGCACAGATGCTTGGCTTACAACCTGCACCTCTCCGGGGTACACCAGAGGAGCGGCCACCACCAGTTCTTCAGCAACCTCTGTGCTCAGCACCTCCTCGATAAAAACGGGCATACTGGTTGCTGTGTCCACCATTAACACATCAGATTCATGAGAATGAGTAGATGCAACATTACCTAGCATCTGAGTGGCAAACTGAGCCGGGTCAGCGGGGATATAGGCGAACTCTGCCGTGGCGGGTGCTGGAGATGGTGATGGGGGTGGGGTGGTGGCCTTGGGCGTGGCTGGTTTGGAAGAAGGACGGTGAACTGCTTCACCCGTCTCAGGTTGCAGGCACTCAGCACTAACTAATGGAAACTGGGTGGTTTTGTTGGTGAACTGTGGCCCCGAAATACTGTCCTCCTCTGTGTCTGTGCACTTTTCCATCCGTGTAGGCTCTTGGAAGACCACAGGTGTTCCTTCGGATTCTTTTAAACGTTCTAGTTTCTTCTCCAGCATCATTCCTTCTGACCATTTCTCTACTAAAGATCACAACAAGTGGGTTAATCAGCATCTATTCCTCAAAGAATTTTAAAGAAAGCATTTAACCGTGCGCGAGGCATTTTAAAGAAAGGAAGCATTTAACCGTGCGAAGTTTGAGCGTTCAGGTATCAGCAGATACAAGTCTCCGCTTTATTTCCCAACACTGCGTTTTTGTGTGGGTAGTGGGCCTTCCCTGTCCTTACCAGCTAAGATCCTTGGTTTATTTCCTTAGAAATAAGTGACCATAAACATCACGTTGGAAAAGCTATAATCCATACTCTCCTGAGCTGGTCACCAGCAAGGGAAAGAACATAATTTTGTTCCTAAAAAACAGGGATTCTGTTCTTAGAAAAAAGAAAGCTGAAAACCTCCATCGAAAAAGCTCTTAATCCAAAATCCATATAAGCAGGATAGGAGGAAAACAAAAGACCAACCTGGGCAATAAATGAAACCTTCAGCTGGTATTACAGCTTAGTAACGACACAGATACTGTCAGAATAAAGGCATTCCGCAATTTAAGAAAATGAGCGCACCAAATTTAAACAATGAATTGGTAAGCTGGAGCAAGACAGGATTCTTTTGCATTAGGAAGTGTCACTGTCTAGCCTAAAAGTGGCAGCATCTGCTGGCAGGTGTGATCATGAAGCCAGAATCACACTGACGCAGACAGGAGAAAAGAGAAAGCTCTGAGTCCAAGGGTGGACGCGGAGTCCTCAGGCCCCAGGGAAATCCCTGGAGCATGGAAGGTCAAGAGGAGCTGGAGAAGCAGTGGGAAACTGTGTTTATCACCCACCTGGCCAACCCACAGAGTTTTCACGTCTGCTTACTTAAGGCTTTCTCCCGGGAGAGGTTTCTCTAATACCTAAAATCTGCAGGAAAAGTCGAGTTGGCTTTACAAGAATGTGTTTGGCTCAAGTCAGCACTTATTTGGTGACGTGTTTTCACAGGCTGAGCTGCTCCCCAAAGAACAGAGTCCTGCAAGTCTTATTCCACTTCGGCTGCTAGTTGCTTATAAATTCTGTTCAACTGAGGTGTCTCATTCCGGTTACAAACACCAAATGCTCGGGTATACAGAAAAGTTTCAAAAAAACAGAAAACCTGTGTGTACCCTTCGCTACCTTGTTCAGCACAGTAACCTCACTTTTCTAACTCTCTTCAAGACCGCCCACTTTCTATTTACCGGTCCATACGGCTGAATGTAAGATGTCACTAATGAGGGATAAGACAGGACCTCATATAAAGTACATTCACCAGGAGAAGCAGCACGGATACACGAATATTGTAAGTTAGAAAAGCACAATTCCTAAGCAGACTTGGGAATTGGGAGGAGGAAAAAGGTCTTTTAAAAGTATAGCAGTTACTTTTGTGCTTTTGATACAGAAAGCTGCAAAAAAAATTTCCTTATAATGAAAGGCTAGATTAATCACAAAATCCTAACTCCTCCTAAGTGCAGAGAGCTGAGGTTATAAGGTAACCACAAGTAACTCATTTCCCAAAAGGAACCAGCCCTAAAGGAAAGAAAGGACACAAGAACTACACTGAATTTCCTCAGCTATGCCACAGCTTGCAGAGACAAGGCTGCTGGCAGGACAGCTGACGTCCTACGTACTGACAAAGGCCACGTGGCTAGAAGTCAATCCAAAACAGCCTGGACTCAGGGAGGTCCACATTCACTCCTATGCATTTTCCCACCAGCTTCCCATGAAAGATGAGGTAGGGTAGGAGGCGGGAGGGAGGGCGGACACTGACCGCAGAGCCAAGGTGTAGGTTGCTGTTAGGTGGACAGTGGGCAGGAACACTGAGAAAGCACCACCCCTGAGGTCTAGGGCCACAAAGCCAGCCTCACCTGAGTGGGCCCAGACCTCCAAGCAGCCTCGTGCTCCACTTAGCAGCCAGCACTAATAAGAGGCAACAGGCTGCCGCCAGCCAAGGGGCCAGGCACACAGGAGCGGAAAGCTGACACACCCTCTGGCCCCCAGCCCCGCCTTGTGACCCCACAAGGCCACACAGCCCTCTGTGGACAAGCTAGCGGTCTGTTGGAGCAGATAATGAAGCAACAGCAAAGCCCAAGGCTGGCTAACTAGACTGACTTCCCTGTGCCAACTTAAGGCCTACTGTACTTTCCCTTAGAACAGTGGTGGTGAACAGCCCTGTCATACTTGGAACTGTATGTGAGACATTAACCCTAAGATACCTACAGGATTATTTAAAATTTTCAATGTTTAAAAACTAAAGACAATCTTTTCCTCTCTATAGAAGCCCCCTATTAACTAACGACTGTTAGGGAAAAGCAAAGCATACGTGATTGTGCTCGTTAACAATTTATCAGGGAATTTAGGACACTGCTTTCTTCCCTGCAACTTTTGCACGCTGAAATACGTAGGCGAGGACCTAGGCTTCCATGATAGCTGTGATTTAAAGCTGCATCACCAAGTCAGCTCTTCGGAGCTTTGGCCTCCTCATCTATGAAGTAGGGATTCTGATTCTCACCTCAGAGTTTTTCTGGAGACTGAATATATCTAAAAGTGCTCTACAGGCTATAAGTCATATAAATGAGAAATGGTAGCATCCAGTTAAAAAGAAATTTGGGGAAGTTTTGAAGATATATCAAATTTAAAGTTATAGAACTTTGATTAAAATTTAAATTGGCATTTCCAAAACAGTGGTACGACACAGGGTTTTTTTCCTATATACATGCCATGTAAATTTTTTGAATAGATATGTTTTATAATTTTTAAAAACTGAAGCTGGGTGTAATCCCAGAATTCTGGGAGGCTGAGGCAGGAGGATCTAAAATTTGAACCCAGCCTGAAGAACCTAGTGAGACCCTGTCTCAATAATAAAAAAAAAAAGCACTGGGAATATAGCTCAGTGTGAAAGGCTCAAATTCAATCCTTAATACTGCCAAAGAGAGGGCAGTAGCTTTTTTTTTCTCAGTGTTTTTGAAAGTACAAGAACCATTTAGTTTTGTTTAGAATACAGTACACGATAGACTATTAGCAAATACACACACACCAGTCACCATATGTGTGTACAACATATAAACTATACTGAATTCCAGTTGATACCTGTTTAAGGTAATGAGCTCTTCTGTAACGTCTTAAGACCTGTTCAAGTTCAACAACTGATTTGTAACCCTGAGATTTACTGGAGAAAACTATTTCTTAAAGTTGTATCCTCGGTAGGTTGCAATAGGTTAGTTTACACCTTTAGGAAGATGGACCCACTACAACCTCAGTGAGCTGGTTCTATTTAGACTAACAATGCCAAAACCCACACAGACTCAGTGTTAGCAACATAACAAAAGACCATCTTCTTTGTGGAAATTTCCTTTAATAAACGGAATCAGACTGATTGAAATTCACTGCAGAATCCTGATTTTTGTTTTTTTTTTTTTTTTTTGGTTTTTGGTTTTTCTCCGGTACCAGGAACCGAACTCACGACCTTGCGCTTGCCAGGCAGGCGCTTTTGCCGCTGAGCTAAATCCCCAGCCCCAGAATCCTGATTTTTGCACGGAACCAGTAAGACAGAGGTAAATTCCAAGCACGCAGTAGTTCTTGCGATAGATAGACCTCATGCGGAGACTTGGGGTGCCGGGTGTAGAACTCCCAGGGAAGCATAAGGGAAAAGGCACAGCCTGACACCCACAGGGAACCGTGAAACTGTCAAGGACCAGCAAAGAGAAAGCAGCAGCGTGAAACAGGCCAGTAGAGGCTGGACAGGGCTCGAGAGGGGAGCCCATGGGAGAGGGCCTACAGACATAAACTTGGCATCTACAATTTAGAAGAAATTAAAAATATGCCAACCAGAGTGTATGAAGCTGGCTGGAATGAGAATACTAGGCGCCGTGAGGTAAGACAAGTGGTCTGTTTCTCTTCTCTCCTTTCTCCGCCTATTCATTCTACATTCAAGAATCACTAACTTGATCTCTGTTACGTGACAGACACTGACAAATGAACGGTGAGTAAGATCTAACGAGCTCAGTCTGATGAAGGCCAGAGAGACATAGGCAGCTGACTGACAGGGTGGTCCGTGGCTTTTAGGTCAGTGTTGTTCAGCTTTGGAAATGAGAAGGGGCAGGTGCGAAAGGCGTGGGTGATGTGGGCCGTGGCAGGTGGAGGGCAGAAGGCAGAACAGCCACTTCTGGCAAAACAAACACAAGGCATATTCTAGGGCACTTTCTCCCTGCCCTTTCGGTTCCCCTTCTCCTTCCTGTTGGCTCCCAACTCAGTTATCAAACTACCCTGGGCCGAGTGTGGCAATACCAAATGTGGCTTGGCGTCTCTTTGGCTCGCCCCTCTCCGCTGGATTTATTTCTATCCCTTGCCCGCCTGTCCTCCTCCCCTGTTCTCTACACATCCCACCACCACCCCACCACACAATTTTTACCCAAATCTCTTCTCGCAAGTTCATGTAAGGACAAAGAATTGAAGCAAAGTGGGTGGAATAGCAGTCATTTCTCCTTATTCATTCTTAAGAGCATCCTAACTAGGTTTGAGGCCGCAACTTACCCAACCAATACGAGGTGATAACCACTAACAGCACGGTGGTTCTCGAGTGGGAGTGGTAACTCTGCACCCCGAAGGCATAAAGGTGGTGGGAGGCATTCCTGGCACTGGAAAGCCAAGGCGATGCCAGATGTCCCACAGCACGTGGGGGATCTGCACACAATGTCCTGCCTAAGCCAGCCACACAGCGCCTGGGCAGCAATGCAGCGCCTCCACCAGCCAGGTCAGCTCTGATCCCTTCTAGAACCTACATCAGCCTGCCTTGGGCCTTGGGCCACAAGTGGCATTCTGCTAGAGGGCTCACAGGAATTTTCCTTCTTTAATGGAAGGAATGAGTGTCACCGGTAGCACAATTTTCTCCTTCCAGATGGGAACATGGGCGTAACACGTGGAGGAGTGGTGAAGGGACACATGAAGTGCGCTAAGAATGAAACAGCAGCCTACTCCACGTACAATGACGCCTACAGTGCTTTAGCACATGTGCAGCAGGA